GATTAAATCAAAAATCATAATTGTGGAAAATAATAGTTGAAATTATTCTTGCTTGAAGAATTTCTTTCATAGTTCTAAATATTTATGAATCATGGATCTGACCTTGAAATATCAAAAAAAGATTATTGTTCTATTATGAAATAAATTCTTATATATTTTTATGTTATCTAATTCAAGGAAAGAAAAATACTACAACTAGTTTGTTTTTTTTTATAGTTTAGAAAGTTGAAATATGATTATTATATATTTCAAAATTGAAGATGAGTCATGGTGATTTGAATAACTTGCCGAATGTTAAGAAGTATTGCAAATAGATTTTTGTCAACTTATAGTCAAGTTCGAAGCACTTCGACCTATAACAGAACGGCTTTTTTTTTAGATTGGATTTCAAGGAAGTTTTCAAGTGAGACTCGTAGAGATCTAATATTGCGTTTCCTGTAATAAAAGATATGGTCAATAGAGAAAATTATTTTCTTTTGAATTGCAGACATTCGAGATTTCGACTAGTTAACCGTGAGTTACTCAAAAATACATCTCGATAAGGAGTGTTTGACCATCTGAAATCAATCAATGATGATTGTATTCAGTTTCAAAATACAGATTTTCGAAATATAGCCTGTTGACATTGTGTGACTGGAAAATTTGATATTTTGAAAATCTGTGTATAATATTTATTACTCATTTAAAACTCAATACAAACATCACTACTTGACTCAGCGTACTCAATCAATCAACTTTCTCTTCGAGACTGATCATTTTGTAATCTAGAGCCAACTAATCGGAATCCTGAGCCTCTGAAAGTCTGGATAGTTTTCTAAAGATTCAATTCAAAATCTTCTCAAAATTCAATTGAAAAAAAAAATTATTTTAATATAGATCGGTATGCCTCGAACTTGACTACTAACTCATGAGAACCCATTCACAAGTTATTTAAGTTAGCGTGACTTGTTTTCTATATTTTGCAATGTATAGTAATCATTTATGTTTATTGTCAAGAAATAGTTTGAAGAGAAGTAGAATGACCTAATGTGTCATTTGTATATATATTTTTTTTTTTAGAATAGTGTCTATAATATATTTTTGCAATCAATAATACACATTGTAGATTTAATCAAAACATGATGAATCTTTTGTTTAGCAATATAATAGATGAAAATTAGATATTTAATATGGAAATGTCTATTTTTCTACAATATATAAACATAAAATTTCTTGAGTTGAAACATATGTAATCTTTTATGTTTTACGTCGATTTGTTTAACTTTTTGATTAACTCAATTTATCAATGTTGTAAATAATGATAAGAAAAAAAAACCAAGAAAAATTTCTCATTAATATTTATTAATAGAAATATGATGAAAGCTCAAAGACTGTTATTCATCAACAATCCAAATGTCAGCATGAATTAATTGTGAAAATTTAAGAATACTTGTCGGCATTATATAGCTAAGCAATGATATACATATATATATATATTCCATAAAACACAAACTATTTCATATAATGTTCAGCCACGTGAATAAACTAATCATTGCCGTAGGGCTATTAACATTACATGGTCGAATAAAAAAAAACAAAAAATAACTAAATGTAATGAATGACAAACAACTGTTTTTCTCTATTGCATGATAGACAACATGCAGAATAATATAATCTAATTTAAACATTAATAATGTATACGACAAGAATAAATGAGTCTCTTAGAATTTTCTCAATATTTCTACCGGATATTTATCATTTACGATTAAATTTTTCTCAAAAACGATTTAGTATAAACACTTTCTACAAAACAACGAGAAAATGTTGATTAGAAAAGATAGAAGTTCAAAAAAACCTATTCCATAAGTACTGTGATGATGTATTGGGGAATAATATGAGGTTGAAATATAGAAAAACTTTACGGTCCATTTGTGTAGAGCCCTTAACAACTCTTTTTCATGTCAAATAAGCCTTCTTTGTTTTTTTTTCTAGATTTATAACAGCAGCACATCATTATACTCAAGATTTCTACGTTCGTAAAAAGACTATTATTACTCTTTTGATGCGTAGTTCTTAATTGAGAAGGACATAATTCTCAATATGACAGTTTTGCCTTTCTGTGCTTAGCTAGATTAAATCAACAAAAGAAAATCTAGTTAACGTAGGCCTGGTATCCAGAGAATAGACTTGTTAATAATAATTATCAGTGTGCTCTTATTCTTCGTATACTTCAGTAATTCAAATACATTCCATTATGTCTGATAGAAATGCCTGCACTAATATAAACAATCGATAAATTCTTCATCATTCTGTTATTGTTTGTTAATTTTAACTTTTGAAAAATATTCATATGATAAAAAATTCACGCGAGATTTATTCATTACAATACAAAAACCAACAGTACAAATGACAAATTTTTTGTCGTAAAAAAAAAGTATTTTCAAACACTTTCTTATCAAATTTTAAACACACATATGTGAGCAATGATTTTAGATGAGATACAAATAAATAACAGGTACAAAAAAAATATTGTAACCGATTTACGCTAGATAATTGAAAAACAAATAATAATGAAATTTTGTCATAACACTACTAGAATATTTACTGATAATCTTTTTATGATTGAACTTAATTTAATTGTTTTTTTTTGAGAATCAATTAAGTAAGTGTTTCACGATCTTTTTCATCAAGACATACAGTGCGCACAATAATATCCGTAACAGCATATGGATCACAATTTGATGCTGGACGACGATCTTCTAAATAACCACATTTTTCTTCACCAACTTGACGAGGTATTCGAATTGATGCACCACGATTTGCAATACCAGCTTTAAATTGATTGATCTAAATTATAAAATTATTTTAATAGAGACGTACATATCTAACAAGAGAAGATACTCGATTGTCGGACGTTGTTCAACTTTAGATTTATAGCTACGAGTAAGTCTCGAGCCTATGATTTATGACCATTTTAATGAAATTGTTCCTGAGAACAAGACATTTCCGAAAAGTTCAAAACCAAAGAGTTACAACCTGAAATTTGACCTATTGATATCATTAGATTGTCCTGAAAGTTTCAATGAAAACAAAAAGGTCTTTCTCGAAATATTTGATTTCCGAGTACACTCGATTATTATGTCTCCCGATGGTAAATTGCTGGTTTTTTTTGTTTTTGGAGAATGCTCTACTCTCACGAGAAAATATATCCAAGTGTCCAATCGCTTTTGAGCCAAGATTGTGTGCATCATGTAGATTCTAATGAATTTTGAATATTTTGAAAAAAGTTTGGACTATTGCTTTATTACTGTTAAGGTATTGCGTTTTAACAATTCTTTCTAGAACAATGCTGTGGTCCTCCTCAGGAACATCAAGAAAACTAAATTTAAAATTTCGACTTGAAACTTTCCATAGAGATAGATCTTAACGAGAATAGTTTATTGTGAAAATTTTAGATCATTTGGTTTTTCCTATATCAAAAAAATCAGAAATTTTCACAGTAAACTATTTTTGTCAAAGTCTGTTTCTGTGCAAAATTTCAAGTCGAAATTTGACACTCAGTTTCCTTGGTGTTCCTAAATAAGATTACAGCATTGTACTAAAAAATGCTATACCTCGGTAGGGATAAAGCAACAGTCCGAATTATTTTCAGGGTATTCATAGGTCATTAGGATCTACATGATGTACACAGTCCTAGCTCAAAAGCGATTTTATACTTGGATATGTTCTCTCGTCAGAAACAATTTCATTAAAACAGTCATGAACTCGAAATCTTTTAAACTCGCTCTAGTCTAACTGAGATCTAATCGTAGCCATAATATGAAATTGAACGACATCTGACAGCTGGATATTCCCCATCTAGTACAGGTTTTGTTCATTTAAACTTACATTTGCTGTTTCATGTCGTCCAGTCAATCGTCGTTCATTATCTCTTCCATAACATTTTATGTGTGCTTTGTGACGTGTTTCAAGTGCTTTGATTGCTTTATGAATAGCACTACAATGAAAAATATTTCTCAAGTAAGATGCAATGTAGAGGTGTTTGTACAAATATGTCAAATACTGTTAGACCATGTTGTCGCCTTCCCATGTAATTAAATTTTTTTTCTTGTTAAAAAGAGCAATGTGCGAACTACAAAAATTTTTACCGGATATATTTTTTCTAGGGCGAATTTACTCGAACGAAAAAAAAGTTGAAGATCAAAAGCATCTAAAAAAAAGTTCTTGCGACTTCACCATACAGCAACATTATTATTGATTTTCTTTTTTTGATAACAGAAAAAAATGAGAAAAACATGTTCAATAATGATTTTTGTAGTATAAATGATGTTCACTGTTTTTATATCAAAAATATTGTTTTTGTTTTTTTTGAGAAAGAAATTAGAAAAGCTGGTCGTTCTCATCACCTGATCGTTTTGGAACGGTAAAAAAATATTTGTTCAGATATTTTTTCTGTTTAGTTTCTCAGATCTCACATATTTCAAACAAATAATGTACACAAAAAAAAAATTAGAGCTCATGCATTGTTCCTAGTGATAGTAGCTAATACTATTACATACTGATAGATCTTGCAAAATGTCTTTTATGCAAAAATTTCATTTTTTTTTTCAATTTTCTTTTTACTAATATGCTAAAAGTACATCTCAAATTTTTAGCAAAACTGATATCAACAGCATTTTTGATGTATTACATTTTTTTTTTGTACTTTTTGTTGGAATTCAATATCTATGTAAGCTGAACATATTTTAGAAATATAGACTTTTAAACTTATAAAAACGTTGTAAGAATTTGTTAAGAGACATTTACCTTTTGCCTTTGCCGTAGAATCCTACGGGAACGACTTTTTCCATAAATTTTCCCTTTCCCATTTCTATGGGAAGAGGAAAGGGAATTCCCATTTAGACTTAGGGAATGAGAACAGAGTTAAAAATTGACGTTTCCTAAAGTCGTTCTATCCTATTTTAATACACATAAAAATCGTTCTATGTAATAGCTGTTCATTTTCAATAACTATTCTTATTCATATACAATTAATAGAAAAATAATAAAAGTGTATCAAAAAAACAGACAAATTCATTTATCCTTAACTAAATCGTAATTCAACCATCACAACTATCTCTTATTTGTTAAAGACATTTCATTTATTTAATATAAACAGAATTGAGCAGAAGTAATTTTTTTATATTTGTAAAAAGACAAATCTCAGTAGGATGTTTAGCTAATTGTTTCTCCAATTATAATTGTATTTTTAATTTATTTAATATCACGTCGCGAAAAGCTGATATACGGCAATGACACTTTCTCTCATAGATGAATAGAGCTTCAGACAACTTTATGGAAATGGTAACATGGGAATGGAAAAAATCTTTTTTTTTCATCCGGAATGGGAATAGGAAATGGGAAACAAAAAAAGTTGTTCCCTCAGGACTCTACTTTTCCCTCCTTTTCTGATTTGTCTTGAAAAAAATTTCTAGTTCAAACATTCCTCTTTTCAATAAAAGAAAAATATTGATAGAATTAGAAGTCATCAATGTGGTATAACAACGTTCAATATATTTGCAAAAAACTTTTCTCTCGTATGTTACTCACTCAAGTCCATTAGGTTCACGCATAGCTAAGGTTGAAAAATTAGTATGACATCCAGCACCATTCCAATCACCAGGAATAGGTTTTGGATCAAAACTAACTTGTATACCGAATTCTTCGGCGATACGTACTAATAAATAACGTGACATCCAAAGTTG